CAGAACCTTAATTCGTTATGCCTAGCCCCGATAGTCATACGTTCAGTCAAAGTCATTAAAGGCACAAGCAGCCACGTCGTTGGTCAACGTTGATTGCTGAAGATAAGCGAGTCGCGTCATCAACTTTGCTTCACTGATCCAATTTTAGAAAAAACTCCCTTTTTGGCACTATAGGCCGCCGCCACCAATTTTCTGTACTTCAAATGCCGAAAGTTCGCATAATTCTGGGGTTGATTTAAATATCCAACTGCTAGGTATTGCATTTGAATGCGGCCCCTACTTATACCTAGTTAGGTGTCTGCTTTTGTGTAATGGGAGTAACCCTCTACCTGGAAGAGTTATGGAGACGTTAATGAAAGCACAAAGCAGTTATAGAAACAACTGGGTTTAAGACATCGAGTTAGCCTGAGCGCCGGTCTGTCTGAGGTGTTTGACGACGTCGACCCAATTCCATCCTCTCGGCAAATTCCCTTTTTCGTCCAATCGATCCAATTGCTTTCTCTTCTGAGCCTTCGTAAGAACCTCCTTCTCCACCGTTTTCCTCTTAACCTAATTAAGATGTTAGACGCCGACACGCCCAACCAACCATGGCCTCCTCCGTTTCAAGCTGCTTTACAGTTGAATTGGTGCTACGCTTTTTAAAATCCTTTAACTGTTTTGCGTACTCATCCATATTTTCCCGTAAATGTTCGATGAGAGTGAATGTCAAAGGTTCTCCACTATTTTGCGATGCCAGTTCGTTAACTTCCTTAATGATGGAATCTCTCATGGATTGAGGGACGTGGTGATTACAAAATTCATCCAAATCCACCACTGGAGGAATGAATGGATAGCCTTTGGGCCATGTGATGTTAACGACAAATGATCCAAGAGTGCCAGGAGTGCCTAGCTGATTTTGGTAACACGTAGAATGCCGAGATTTATGTTACCCTAAACTGAATCTTGTAGTCATCTGAAATACTCAACTCCTCAGGAGTGTAGATCGATTCAAGAACGGCTTTTTCCTCCTGAAACAGTTAAAAGAGTAGATGCAGGAGATTCGGATCAAAACAGAGTTGATGAGTTTACTAGTACTGATTCCTGTCGGTCAATGGTGTTTTTGATGGGATCCATATGGGAATGATACAGCGGTTGAATGTAAGAGGTGATTAAAAACCAAACAAGTGCAAAAACGTGTGAAATGGGGCCGACGGTAATCAAAGGTTCTACGGGTAGGCACTGGTTACGATGAGCTAAAGCATACTGCATGTTTTTGCAGGGAGACTAGAATGCTTGGGATGCATCGAGGGACAGTATGGATGAAGCTATAGGAAATGTTCCCATGGACTGGCAAAATGAGGGGAATGCATTCACACATGGAGAAACTTGGCTAAACGATGTTCATTAGAAGCTAGTATATAGGTAATATTACTTCGGACAGAGAACCAAGAGACGTACCGACCGGGGACTAGGCAGATCCATATTAACAATGGGGGTAAGGATAAGGAGTTACTGGGTTACAATGAATTGGCATTTGGATTTTCAATTAAGCTATGCCAAATGGAGAAACCCCCAAAAAGAGCCAATGCACAAATGATCCAGTATAATTGTTGTAAGAAATCTCCTTCAGCGCATAAATTCGTTTGTGGTATTGCATTTAAGTTGGTGAAAAAGCACCCGTAGATTCTGATATTATTGCTGTTGGTGCGTTTTCAAAAATTGTCATGGTTCCTATTTTATCCACAAACATGCCGATTCGGTTATCACATGAAGTAGGTAGTCGATAAATAATATGAGAGCACTATAGGACTTGCAAAATTCACCACTTTTGGCATACTGTCTCGTGAAAATTGGCGCTGTAGTATATTTTATTTTGCGGAAGTTTTTTTGGTTGCATTAATAGCCTAGCCTAAAGTAGTCTCCTGGTTCCCAGTTCACACCAACTCGTATGTGTTGTTCAGACGGCGCGTTTTCAAGCATTTGGGGTTGGCTTGTTGTTTAGCGTAGTTGGTTGCTG